ATGATTCTTTTGATGAATTGCTGAATTCTGGTTGCCAAAATTTTGTTTAGAATTTTTGCATCTATGTTCATCAGTGATATTGGCCTGTAGTTCTCTTTTTTCGTGGTGTCCTTATCAGGTTTTGGTATCAGCGTGATGTTGGCCTCATAGAATGTGTTAGGAAGTGTTCCATCTTTCCTAATTTTTTGGAATAGCTTGAAAAGGATAGGTATTAAATCCTCTCTGAAAGTTTGGTAGAATTCCCCAGGAAAGCCATCTGGTCCTGGGGTTTTATTCTTTGGGATGTTTTTGATTGCTGTTTCAATCTCTTTCCTTGTGATTGGTCTGTTCAAATTGTCTGCCTCTTCTTGAGAGAGCTTTGGGAGATTGTAGGAGTCCAAGAATTTATCCATTTCCTCTAGGTTAGCCATTCTGTTGGCATATAGTTTTTTGTAGTATTCTCCCATAAGCTGTTGTATTTCTGCAGAGTCTGTTGTTATTTCTCCTCGCTCATTTCTGATTTTGTTTATTTGAGCTTTCTCCCTTGTTTTCTTTGTAAGTCTGGCTAGTGGTTTGTCAGTTATATTTATCTTCTCAAAACACCAGCTGTTTGTCTCATTGATCCTTTCTACTGCCTTTTTCATTTCAATAGTATTTATTTCTGCTCTGATTTTTATTATTTCTCTCCTTCTGCTGGCTTTGGGCTTCATTTGTTCTTTTTTCTCTAGTTCAGTTAGGTGTGCTTTAAGGTTGCTCATTTGGGATTTTTCTTGTTTGTTGAGATGTGCCTGTATTGCGATGAATTTTCCTCTTAATACAGCTTTTGCTATATCCCATATGAGTTGGTATGGCATGCTATCATTTTCATTTGTTTCCAGGTATTTTTTTATTTCTTTAATTTCTTCAATGATCCATTGCTTGTTCAGTAGTGTGTTGTTTAGTCTCCATCTTTGTGCCTTTCTCAGCTTTTTTCTTGTAATTAATTTCTAGCCTTATAGCACTATGATCTGAGAAGATGCTTGTTATTATTTCCATTTTTTTAAATTTGTAGAGGCTTGCCTTGTTTCCCAACATATGGTCTATCCTAGAGAATGTTCCATGTGCACTTGAGAAGAATGTGTATTCAGCTCTTTCAGGGTGGAGTGATCTATATATGTCTATTAAGTCCAATTGTTTTAGTTTTTCATTTAGCTCCACTATTTCCTTGTTGATTTTCTGTCTGGATGATCTGTGCATTGATGTGAGTGGGGTGTTGAGGTCCCCTACTATTATTGTGTTGTTTTTAACATCTTCCTTTAGGTCTGTTAATAGTTGCTTTATGAATCTTGGTGCTCCTGTGTTGGGTGCATAGATATTTATAAGCGTTATTTCTTCTTGATGAAGTGTCCCTTTGATCATTATATATTGTCCCTCTGTGTCTCTCTTTACCTGTCTTATTTTGAAATCCACTTGGTCTGATATGAGAATTGCAACACCTGCCTTTTTTTCCTTGCTATTTGCTTGAAGTATTGTCCTCCACCCCTTCACCCTGAGTCTGAGTTTGTCCTTGGGGCTGAGGTGTGTTTCCTGGAGGCAACAAATTGTTGGATCGTGTTCTTTAATCCATTTTGCCACTCTGTGTCTTTTTATTGGAGAGTTCAATCCGTTCACATTGAGAGTGATTATTGATGCATGTGGACTTAGTGCTGTTAATCTGTCACTCATTATCTTGTTTTGCTGCGTTTCTTTTCCTGTTTGCTTTAGACTACCCATTTAATACTGCAATTTCGTATGCTGGGTTTCTTAGATTTTTCCTTATTTATGATTTGTGACTCTGTTCTGTACTTTATTTTAGTGTCTACCTTGACGTTTGTATTTAGAATCTCATGTATAATATAGTCTATTCTCTGCTGGTTTCTTACTTACTTGACCAATACTGATTTAGACCCTTTGCTCTTCCCCTCCTAAATAATTATTTTCATTTTTTATTCCAACTCTTCTTATTAATTGGTAGTTAGAGTGCTAAGATCGTCCTTGTTTTGGTAGTTTTCTTACCTTTACCCTAATGCTATAATTGAATATTTGCTATCCTGTTCTGGTTCTATCCATCAGTCTCCCTAGTCTGTGGATTGTGTCACCTTTCTCCCTCTTTTCTTTTTTCAGGTATGAGAGCCTTCTTGAGGATTTCTGGTAATGGAGGGCTTTTAGTTACAAATTCCCTTAACTTTTGTTTGTCTGGAAAAGATTTAATTTCTCCCTCATATCTGAAGGAAATTCTTGCTGGATAGGGTATTCTTGGCTGAAGATTTTAATCCTTTAAAGCTTTGAAAATGTCACTCCATTCTCTCCTAGCTTGTAGGGTTTCTGTAGAGAAATCCGCTGACAGTCTGATATGGGCTCCTTTATAGGTTATTCTCTTTTTTTTCCTTACTTCCCTGAGTATTCTTTCCTTATCATTCCTTTTTGCCAACTTTACTACTATGTGCCTTGGGGTAGCTCTTTTTACATTGACAAATCTAGGAGATCTAAAACCCTCCTCTACACACATTTCTCCGTCGATCCCTAGATTTGGGAAGTTCTCTTCAATAATTTCATTAAGCACACTTTCTGCTCCATTTTCCTTTTCCATATTCTCAGGAATTCCTATGATCCTTATGTTCTTACTCCTCATTGAATCCATTATCTCTCGGAGATTTTCCTCATTTTTTTAAATTCTTAGTTCTCTTTCTTCCTCTCTCTGGCGCCATTCAGCCTGCGTATCTTCGATTATGCTAATTTTCTCCTCTATGTTATCTACACGGGCATTCAGGGAATCCGTATTCTGTTTTATCTGGTCCATTGTGTTTTTCATCTCAAGTAATTCTGTTTGATTTTTCTTTATGATTTGAATCTCTTTTGTGAAGTAACTCCAGAACTCAGCTTATTTCTCTATCTTCCTCTCTACCTCATTGAGTTTTTTGATTATAGCTGCTCTGAACTCATTATCACTTAGTTTACCTAATTCCAAGTCCTCAGGACTTAATTCTATGTTTTATTGTTTTCCTTCTGGTCTGGGGCTTTTATAAATTGCTGGATGGTAGAGGAGCGGTTTTTTTGCATGGTGGTAGAATTCAGTTGCAGTTACAGCCTGTCGCCACTAGATGGTGGGGGTTTGAGAGCCGCGTGTTATGAGCTCTCTGCCTTGGGGCAAGATGGCTGTGCCCACTGGCTTTGCTGGGGGGGGAGGGGCTGTTACTCACACACGCCGGTCTGGGTTCAGATCAGTTCTGTTTTCTGGTCTCCCAAGGCCCTTGATTTATGGGGTCCCCACGGACGGAAGCTTTCCCCCATCAGCGGGTTTCCACTGAATCAGCGGCAGGAGTCCTGGATGATTCCCCGGTCACGCAGCCCCTCCCCCGCTCCTTCCCGACCGGCGCTGCAGCGATCGCAGACTCTAGGGGAGGGAGCGATGTTCTCTCCTACCGTTCCAGTGCCTCCGAGGCTGTAAGTAGGGTTTATGATCTCCGCCTTCTTGGTACTGTAGGTCTCTAACGAGCTGGCATTATGTTTATTCTCTGAAATTCAGTTCTTCCAATCTTTTGTTGTATTTTGGAGGGGAGAGAATCCCAGGTCAGCTCACCCCGCCATTTTGCTCCACCTTTTGTGCTTCACAACACGTAGTCTTTTGTGACTGATTTCTTTCACTCAGTGTACTGTTCAAGGTTCATCCGTGTTGGAGCAAGTTTAAGTACTTTGGGGTTTTTTTGGCCAAAAAATATTCTATCATATGGATTTACCACGTTTTATTTATCCATTCATCGGCTGATGGATGTTGGGTTGTTTCCACTTTTAGGCTCTTATAAATAATGCTGCCATGGACATTCCTGTGCAAGTTTTTGTGTGGATGTATATTTTCACTTCTCTTGGGTATGTACCTAGGAGGGGAATTGCTGGGCCATGTGACAATTCTATGTTTGACTTTTATTTCTGGGCCCCATTCCCAGAGTTTCTGATTCAGTATGTCTGAGTGGGGCTTGTCATTACAGTAGCCGCTAGCTACAAGTGGCTATTTGAATTTAATTTAACTTAAAATTAAAAATTGAGTTCCTGAATTTAAAAATTCAGTCATGTTATCCATATTTCAAGTGCTCAGTAGCCACATGTGGCTACAGGCTACTGTATCCGATAGCCTACACACAAAACGTTGCACAGAAGCTTCTGTTAAACAGGACTGGTCTACTTGAAAGAGTCTAGGAGGCACAGCCTTATATCTTTTGAAGGTCTTAATAAAGGGTCTTACAGTTGGCTGCATTCTTGACTTGCTCTTGACCCTGAGGCCCAGGAATCTGTATTTCTAACAGCTGACTTGGGTAAATTTGTTGAGCTAGGTCCACAGACTTGTGTCTGGGAGCCACACATCCAAGCCCCATCCTGTTGGGCCTAAGTTACACCTCGGCCCCCTAATGATGTCCTCACACCCACTCGTGCTCCCCAGCCCACCTCCCCACAGCAGCCAGTGACCTCTGAGGAAGGCAAAGCTGACTTGGACATCCTCCTGATCAAAGTCCATTGGAGGCTCCTCACTGTCCTCAGGATAAAGACACAGGCCTTCCCTGGGCCCACGGGCTGCCCACAGCCCTGGTCATGCCAGGGGGAAAAGGGCAGCTTGCTCGTTGTCTCCTCCCCTGTCGCCCCTCGGCTCCTAAGGGCCGGCACAGCCTCATCCTAAGGGCGGGCACAGCCTCGTCCCTGTACTAATGGGTGTTGGGCACAGACGGTGTTTATGGAATGAACGCACCAGACAGGGGCGCTGGGCGGTGTGGGGGAGGCGTGCTGCTGGGCTGTTTGCTGGGCAGGGCTGGGTCAGTCTGGGCCCTGCAAGCCATGCTGGGTCCTGGCTGAGCTGGGAGCTGGCCAGGCCTGAGGGGCCGTGGGAGGGGAGGAAGATGGAGATCCGGGTGGGGAAGCTGCTGCCTGCCTTCGGCAGCCTGAGGTGACGGCTCGTCTCCCTGTGCTCAGGTGGACGTGTCCTTCTCACTGTCCCTGGAGCTGCTCTCCTATCAGAAGCTCCCAGCTGACCAGATGCTGCCCAGAGTGGACATCCAGCAGAACGCGAGTGGGGAGAAGGCGATGGTGTTTACTCAGAATCTGCTCCTGGAGTACACCAACCACACCACTCAGGTGAGTCCCAGGCCTGCGCCACACCCCGAGGACAGTGGAACCGGGCTGGACTCTTGTTCTGGTGGGATCACAGGAGGACAAACCCCGACAAGGCCCTCAGAAATAAGAGGAGCCCTGGCCCTTGCCCTGAGGGCCCAGTCTGCCCTGGAAGAGGCGTTGCCCTGAGGACACACATGGAGAAATTTGTGTCATCCTTCCTCAGTTGTCTCAGGAGCTCAGAACCAGGTGAGGTGTTGCAGGGTGGAAAATCAGGGAAGGCTTCCTGCAGGAGGCAGCATGTGAAGCCTGCACACTGTTTAATGAAGAGAGAAGGGAAACCACACTGAAAGTCAAACCAAGAGAATGGCTTAATGGCTGGGGACAGTGAGCGCCTGAGGCAGCTGAGGGACGCCTCTAGGGCTCTAGTGAATTTCAGGCTTGTGTGGGGATTCAAGCACCAGGGTGAGCACCACAGGCCCAGTTCCGTGGACTGTGACAAAGTCATGGGACTATGGTGTAGAGCTGAGCTGAAGAGGCCAAGGGAAAAGGCAAGACGGCCCAGAACCCACGAGGCGCAGACGGCTGGACAAGAGGTAGGAAGGCTGGAGGGCGGCCCAACCAGGGAGCAGAGGCCACCGAGCTCGATCGCGGCATGGGTGATGGGGAGCAGATGGTGCCTTCCTGGCCCTTTCCCTGTGCAGAACCCCACCAGCAGCCTCAGGCTTTCAGTGCCAGCCCTGGCCCCTTTCCACCCGCCGTGGAGCTGCCTGTGTGCTCCTGAGAAGCTTGAGTACTTGGGATTGGTAGGCTCCTGTGTCCCTGAGACCCTAGCTCAGGGCCCAGCCGGCCTGGGCAAGGTCGCCTGGTCCCCACCAAGCAAAAGGCTCTGCCCTCTAGGTGGTGCCCCTGCGGGCCATCGTGGCCATGCCCGAGCTGCAGCTCTCCACCAGCTGGGTGGACTTCAGCACCCGCTTTGTGAACCAGAAGCAGGTCTGCGAGGTCTATCTGATGAACCTGAGTGGCTGCCGGAGCTACTGGACTGTGCTGACGGGTATGTCAGGCCCTCCTGGCTGCGCACTGCTCCCTGCACAGCTGGGCCAAGAGCCCCAGGACGGCACCTGGGTGCCCTGTCCCTGCAGGCTGGCTCCCCAGGGCTGGCACCACCTGGGAATCCCTGCAGAGGTGGCCAGTTCCCCAGTCCCTAGTGATCCCAGGGTTGCCCTGCCCTGTGGGGTTGGGCAAGGCCAGGGGTGCACACCTGAGATGTGAGGCAGTGCGTGGAGCTGCCTGCACTCATGTGTGTGCTTCCTTCCCCTCGGTGCAGGCCAACAGGAGCCAGACAAGGGCCCTGTGGCCTTCGGGGTCTCCCCAGGCAGTGGACTGCTGGAGGCATGACCAGTCAATGCGCCCCCATCCTCTGTCACCCTCCAGGTTTTCTTCACTGCCAGGTACAGTCCCCCCAACCCCCCAGCACTGCCTACAGGCCTGGAGCCCAGGGCCCCCTCCTAACCTTAGCCCTCGTCTCCCCCAGGAACAGTGAGCTGTATGAATCCATGCTGGTGGTAGAAGGTATGTACCCTCCAAGGCCACGTCTCTACCAGCTCTGAGGCTCTGCCCCACATCCCAGCCCCAGGCTCCCAGCTGTAGAAATAAAATGGCACAGAGCTAAGGAACAGGTCTGCTGGGCAGGGGGCTGGACCATGCCACAGACTGGGGTGGTGGAGTGGACAGTGGGGAGTAGAGGAGCTAGTACCTCTGACCTCCAACTGCTCTGAACAGCTCCTAGAATGGAGGGGCCCCCTTTCCAAAAGGGCAATTTAAGATCCAAAGGAGGAAAAGAAAAAAACTCCTAGAAAAATAGAAGTAGTAAGGCACTTAATCTGATTAAGGCTATCTACAACAAATTTACAACAAACATCACACGTAATTTTGAAATGTTTGTTGAATGCTTTCTCTAAAATCAGTAGTAAGACAAGGATGCCAGCCCACACCACTTCTTTTCCATTGTGTACTGGAGGAACTAGCTAGTCCAGGAAGACAAGAAAGAGAAATATAAGACATAAACATTAAAAAGGAAGAGAAAATTTATTTAACAAGGCCGTGGATATAAAATCAATATGCAACAGTCAATTGCACTTCTATATACCAGCAGCTAAGGGAAAGTGAAATTAAAACACAAAAGCAAAAGATAACGTTTACAATAGCTTAAAAAATATCAAGTACCCAGGAATAAATAAAAACATACAAGGGCCGTATGGATAAAACCATAAAATTATAAAACATTACTGAAGACCTTTGAAGAAGATCTAAATAAATGGAGAGACGATCTAGCATGTTCTTGGATTGGAAGACTCAGTATTGTAAACGTTCCACAGATTCTCCACAGTCCCAGTCAAAACCCCAACAAGTGTTTTTCATTTTTGTTGTGGAACTTAATGAGCTGACGCCAAGATTTATATGGAAAGGCAGAAGGACGAGAAAAGAAAAACAACATGGGAGAACGTGCTCTCCCGGATACCAAGACTTTAAGATATCAGAATACCCAAGAAAATGTGATATGGACACAGAAATGACAGACAGGCCAATGAAACAGAAATGAGAACCCAGAATCAAACCCACATATTTGGTCATTTGATTTATGATGTCACTGAGAACAGTGGGGGAAAGATCATCTTTTCAACAGGGATCCTGCAAAATTAGGCGTCCATTGTAAAAATAAATAAATAAATAAAGCTGTAAAAAATTTTTAAATAAAGTGAAATCACAAACCAAAGGGGGAGAAGATAGCTGCAACACATGTAACTCACAATGGACTCATCAAAAATGTGTAGAGTACCCGCAAATCTGCAAGAGTGAGAGCAGACAGCCCAATACAAAAATGGCAAAAAACTTGACTAGGTACTTCACAAAACAGGGAATCCAAGCGGCTGATAAATTTATGAAAAGGTATTCAACCTACTCAGGAATGAGAGAAATGTAAATTTAAACCTAAGAGATATCACTACATAACCACAAGATTGGATAAAATAAAAAAAATTCTGAAAATATCAATTATTATCAAAGAGGTCTTCTACCTTGCTTTTAAAAAGTGTAAATTGAAACAACTACTTTGGATAATGGCTTGACTTACCTATTAAGGTCGAAGTATACTCTATGACAAGCAATCTTGCTCGCAAGTAAAGAGCCTAGAGCAACTGGTATTTCTGTGCTCCAGCATATAGTTACAAGAAGGTTCATAGAGGCTGTCTTAGTCTGTTGGGCTGCTATAAGAACACGCCATAGACTAGGTGGCTTATAAGCAACAGACGTTTCTCAAGTTCTGGAGGCTGGGAAGTCCAAGATCATGGCGCCAGCAGATTCAGTGTCTGGTGAGAGCCATTTTCCAGGTTGCAGATGGCCACCTTCTCACTGTGTCCTCACATGAGGGAAGGGACAAGCTAGCTCCTGGGGGCCTCTTTTATAAGGCTATTAATCTCCCCGCCTCCTAATACCATCATCTTGGGCATTAGGTTTTTGACACATTATTTTGGGGGACACAAACATTCAGCCCATAGCAGAAGCATTATTCATCATAGCACATTTCCACCATTTGGAAACAACCAAAATGTTTATCACTACTAGAACGGATGGGTAAGTTGTGGTCAGTTCACACAATGGAACACTCTACAGCATAAAAACAATCACTGTGTGTAAAAACATGGATGAATCTCTGAGTGAAAAAAGTCAAACACAAGAGTTGAAACTGTGCCTCCTCTTATAAGGTTCAAAACCCTGCAAAACTAACCTATGTTGTTAGAGGTGAGTAGTTGCCTTGGAGGAAGGAGAGGTGGTGACTGGGAGAGGCAGGAGGGAACTTGATGGTGCTTATAATTTTCCCCTTCTTGATATGAGTGATGGATACTGACTATGTGCTTGTGATGATTCATAAAACAGTACCTTAAGTGATTCACACACTTCTCTATATAATTGAAAAGTTTCCAAGATTGGAGTAGAAATAATTTCAGGCAAAATAGAATTTATGGCAAAAAGCATTAACAGAAACAGAGGGATGATATTTCATGATAAAAGAAACAACCCACAAAAAACTTCGCTAATTCACTCTTTGGCTCTTTCCATTCTAATTTCGCTTCCCTATTGTGTTTTTAATACTTCAGTTGCTGTATTGTTCATTTTAAGAGTTATGGGTGTCTTTTCCAAGTTCAAGTCTTGGAGTTATATTACTTCATCACTTTGAACGTTTTAAACAAATGTGAAGTCCTTTTCAGAGAGCTCTATCACCACTAGATGGTACTCTGATGGTAAATCCTCCAGTTTATTGCTTCTGCCTGTATGCCATTTTGTTTCCTCATGTGCTCAGTAATTTTTGCTTACAAGTCTATCTTCGGTGAGATTCGTCTTCCCTAGAAAGCCCTATGAGTTTTGGGCTGTTGCGGCAATATCTCTACAAACTTGTTTAGTGTTTGCTTCTGCCAGGCCCTTACAAGACTTTACAAGTTTTTAAAATCATTTCTGGGCTTGGGGCTTGCATCCACGGGGCTGGGTTTTCACCCGTGGTCCAGGGGCTGCACCCATTTCTGAGCTGCTTCGCTCTCGCCTCATACAGCCCCTCACCATCGGCTTGACTCTTTGGTAAACTGTGAGCAGCATCTCATGTGGGAGTGGCAATGGAAGGGGTAACTTAGGATGAGAGACTGGGTCCCACATTTAGGTCAATTCCCGGGCAGCGGTAGAAACACACGAGCAGCTGAAAGATGCAGGTAAGATGAGAATTCCACATAAGCAGTAGTCAGTGACGAGGCCAACGAGAGCCCAGGATTCAGAGGCACCATAAGTTTGCAGGAGACCTCGCTGACATGTTTGGTACATATCATATCTATTGTATCATAAAGACATCAGATTTGTGAGAAAAGGAGTTTATTGACAATGTGTAACCTCACACAATTTTAGCATTTAATTTTTTAGTATTACACTAAACAAGTGTGTGATAAGAATGATGTGTGAAAACAATAAAAGGAATGTTCTAGTCCAATACTGTCTAATAAAAATATGATGTGAGCCACAAATGCAAGTCCTGTGTATAGTTTTATATTTTCTGCCAGTCACATTAAAAAAGTTTTAAAAAAACAATGCAATTAATTTTAATATTTTATTAACTCAGTATATCCAAAATATTATCATTTTTATACATAATCAGTATAAAAATACTGATACGTTTTGTTTTGTTTTGTTTCTGTACTAAGTCTTTGAAATCCAGTGTGTCTTTTACACTCACCGCACATCTCAATTCCAACTGTCCACATTTCAAGCCCTCAATAGCCAAATCTGGCTGGTGGCTATTGTATGGGACAGCATAGGTCTAGTTTGTTAAAATATATAATGTCAAACTCTAGGCAATATTAGCCATCGATTAGATAGACAAACCAGGGAGGTCCTATCTGGAACTGACTGACAAATCTTGGCCACCTAGGGAATGTCTAAGCCATGTACGCGTGCACTGGGTCTTGCTGACAGCCACATCCTCCCACCACCAGCTCCTTCATACCAACACTGCCCCATCGGTTTTCTGTCCTGACCCTTCTCCTCCTCCTGTTCCTTGAAGCACCAGCTGAATCCTTCTAGCAGAGTAATTTGAGGTGACGTGTTTAACCGTGGCTAATACATTGGCCATCACAGCTCGCAGATAGGTGTCCCCCAGAAAAGACGGGGAAGGCCTTTTAAGCATCCTGTCATCTTGTGAGCAGATAGTTTGCAAGACTTCTTTTTCTGGGCCCTTCAAATCCCACTTTGGAGGCAGTCCTGGGAAACTTGGTAAGGAACAGAGGGACCAGAAAATGACACTCAAAGGGGGAGTTTCAGGCACCAGTTTCTTTCTGTCCCAAAGCTTGAAGTGCACACCCAAAGCAGTGTGCTGGGACCAGGGGGCCAGAAGCCACTCTGCTGCACCACACTCCACCCCTGCTTGGGAGAACCAGGGCCTCGCTGCCCTTGCTTTGTGAACCCGGACATTCTTTTCTGCCCTTCTCTCAGAAGCTCCAGAGAGTTCGCTCTTCCCTGCAAGTTGATGATCTTCCAATAAACTGAGCAGAGAGGAGAAGAGCCAGCCCCTGCCCTCAGCAACTCCTGTCCCAGGGAGAGAGGAGGTGGGGCCTGACCCAAAGGTGTCCAGGTCTGGCTAATGGATGAGGAGTCCTGGCCCCTGCCTGGGGAAGCTCCCACGCTGGCTGGGAAGGGCAGACTCACCCTCAGGGCATTTGGGACTGTGAGCTGGGGTTTGGAAGTTATCCTCAGGGTGGTGAAGGTCAGCCAGGCTGGAGCCATCAGGGAAGGCACCCCCAAGGATGAGGGTGAGATGGGTAATCCCCAAAGCCAGGCTTACTTGGGAGCATCAAAGGGGAAACCAAGTGAGAAAGCCCTGTGCAACAGTACAAATGGGAGACATTCTCATTATTCCTTTACATTCCACCCCTGCCTTGACAGGTGCCCATTGTGGATCTGTGAAATCTGTCCTCAGCCTGCACTTGAGCTGGAAGTCCAATCACACTAGCAGATGCCTGAGCTAAAGGATGTGCGCAGTGGGAAGGTGCAGTCCTGCCTTCACCACCTCCTGGCCCTCGGGGACATGGCCCACCCCCACACCCCATCCAGAGAGCTCCTCGCTGTCCCTGAGGGTTAGCCAAGGACATTAAAGACTCTAGGGAGCCTGTCTGACCCACGATCCTCCAGGCCTGGGTCTCTGGGTTCTCCAGACACAACCAATTTTGACCTAGCCATCTCAAGTCCAATATGGTACCTTTATTGGAATGAATTACACCGAGGCTCCCCAAGAAGGGGCCATTTTTGGATCTCAAGGGCTGGCCTCAAGCAGGACCCACCCTGCCTGCCAAGCTGGACTGGGCCCAGAACTTGTGGCCTGGAATCCATGGCCCCATACCCAGTCACTCAACTCCAACCCGAGATCATCTGGGGGCCTAGCCCTCAGTCATCCTTTCTGTCTGCTTCTGTGGGCTGTGATGAGGAGGGGAGGATGTCTGTGTCCAATTTCATCACCGAGGCATTGAGAATGGTGTTCTTCACCACTTCCTCAGCCGCATCATCATATAATGTATCGTCAGACATTGTATCCTCGCCTGTGTTCCTGAAGAAGCCATGGGAGAACAAGTCATGAGCTGCATCATTTTGGGAGCTGAGAAAGGCAGCTCGAGCTGTGCCCAGCTCTGCACTCCTGAGAAGTGGGCTTTCCCATGCCTGCGGGTCCCCAGCCAAGCTTCGCGGGAGCTGGGGAGGAACCCTCACCTCCAGGATGAGGTCTATTCCATCTCCCAACCCTAGCCAGACCCTTCACTCTTCTGCATCTTTGGGGTTCTGTCTGCCATCCTCATCACTGGCATTTACTGAGCCCTTGCAACCTGCCAGACCCTGTGCCAACTACCTCATGTGGGTTTACTTCCCCCAAAAGACCTATGAGAGAGGAAGGCTAGGCTACATGTCTTTACCTATCTGTGCCTCAGTTTCCCCATCTGTAAAATGGGGATAGTGTCAGGACTCCCTTGCATGTGATTGTTGTTAGGACGAAGTACGAAAAGGCAAGTATAGAACAGGACCCGGCACGTGGTAAATGCTCCATAAATGCTAGCTACAGTTATTACTATTTTATCAATCCATTTTGCAAATGAAGAAACTGAGTCTCAGAGGTATTCAGTAACTTCCCTGTGCACATGCTAGGAAGCAGTAGCCAAGATAGAAATCCAGGCCCCAGCTCCAGAGCCTGTGTTCTTAACTACTACACTGTGATCCTGCTGCACTGAACATTGCACCCTCTCTACAATGCAGCAAACACCTATTCATCCTTCAAAGCCTACTCAAATGTCACTTCCTCTGTGAAGGCTGCCCCAACTCCCCAAACTAAAGTTCCTCCCTCCTGGGACTCCTTATAGGTCCTGTACATCCCTCTGCCAGAGCCCATCAGTGATAACTGTTTGCATATCTGTCTCTGCATAAATGATGGTTTGCTTAAGGCTGGGGACCTCTTACCTCTGACAGTCCAACCCTGATACAATGCCTAGCACAGATGGTGCCAGTGAGAGTTTGATGAGGGAGGGAAGGAGGAGGATGGTGGGGAGGAGGGCAGAGGAAGGCCAGAGGCAGTGACCCCTGTGGTATGAGCAGAGGGCACTGGAGGACGTCAGGCAGCCTCTGCCCTTCGTTGTTGCTTGGGTTCTCTCAGGTCCAGGAAGACAGTGATGGGCTTTCTTGGCCCAAATCCCAGAAGGGATGGTTCTGCCAACCATGATAAGTCTTCTGCAGGGGGCACTTAGGAGACCAGAGGCCAGAAGTGCCCATGAAGCAGTTAGGGTGGAACCCAATTCCCAAATGGGGTCCTAGGTTGCTGGGGCCAAGAGGTCAGAGTCATGAATCAAGTCTGGGTCCTTTTTGAGGAACTGGGAATTCAGATGGGAAGGAGAGGTATTCAGACAGTTGGTTCCAAGTCAGTCTCCTGTGCCCTGGGAGCGGAGAGAGCCCAGGGCATCTCCAAGGGCAGCAGCTCAATCCCGACAGGCAGCCAGGGGGCTAAGAGGGAGAAGATCCGGCCCAGGATGGGTCAGGAGAACCAGGCAGGATGAGAGCTGGCAGAGGCTGGGCTGGTAGCAGCGTCAAGGAGACTGCCACAGAGTGGCCCTAGTGTCACATGTCCTCCTGACAAAGGGGCAGGCATGGACCGTGCTTGACATCCTCTCAGTGCCAGGGCTTGAGAACCAGGCCCTGTAGCGGCCAGAGCCCAGGAGCCTCACACACCTACCTGAACTGCAGGGGATAGCTCTCCAGGCTATCAGAGAGGGGCTGATCTTGTGTTTCCGGCAGCAGGGAGCAGAGGGACAGGGCCAAGATGGCTGAGGTGAGGCAGAGAAAGACGGGTAGGAGAGTGAGGCTCTGGCTGATGAGCACCAGGGACGAGATGGCTCCAGCCGCCCAGGCCAGGGACACCAGCCCCAGACCTGTGGCCCTGCAAGGGGAGATGAGAACTTGTCTGGGGGGCCTTGTGGGCCCAGAGGCTGAGTGAGGTGGAAGAAGCAGCTCTCCAAAATCCACACCCTCCAATCTCTACCCCGTCCCAACTCAGTGTGCGACCTCAAAGAATTCAGTTCTCCATTGATTCAAAGTAGGTAGTAATTTCTTCTGGGCCTACTTCATGGGGTCAGAGGTGGGAGAAGTAAGACCGACACAGCACTGTGTAGGTGTGTGGGGAGAAGACACGGACAGCGAAGCTGAGTGGGGAGGAGGCTGCTGCCGCCATCACCAAGGGCTCCTGTGGTGAAGGGCCCGAGCATCGACGCGTTCTGCACGCATTCCTGGGAGCCATTGGAGTCAGGCTGCTGGGGTCCATATCCTAGTTCTGCCAGTTGCTATGTCTGACCCTGAGCCAGTGCCCTTGTCTCTGATTTCACGTCTGAAATAGGGCTAATGATGGTGTATGGGAGATTTTTTTGAGAGGGTTAAATGCGGTAATCCATGCAAACCACTTGGCATGGTGCTTGTCACCAGGTGAATGCCCAGTTTTAGCTGCTGCTATTCCTCTTGTTATCGTCCTGCCCTCCCCACACCCCCATGGCCCTTGCCCGCCAGGCCCATACCTGAGGACAGTGGGCAGGAGCTCGGCAGTGTAGATGAAGAACACGGTGACCGAGGCAGCCATGCTGAACTCTCCGAACACGACCATCAAGACCAACGCGGATTTCAATTCTGTGGTCAGAAAACGTGGCCGCCTGAGTCTGGGGACATCCTCCCCTTGGGGCAGGTGGGGAGGGCCAACCCATCAGCTCTCCCTCGTTCCCTCTCAGAAGGCATCTGAAGAGTCCACCCCCACCACCTGGTCAACTAGTCAGCAGACTCAGGCATTTGGTCAGCAGAGGATCAGTCTGCTAGAGGCCCAGCCAAGCCTGGGGAGCTAGTACCTCTGCAGTGGGGGAGTTGGTCAGCAGGGCAGGAGGCTCCACTGGGACCCCCATGGCCTCTCAGGCCACCGTCTACCACACTGGATTCAGACCCCACCCCTCTGCCTCTGGACTTTCTCATCTTCCACATCCTCACCCAGAGGCAGCTTCCCCACCCCACCACCTGCTCCTTCTTGGGCCTCCACTGAGCACCAGGCCTGCGTCCTGCGTGCCAGACTCCCTGTCCAGGGCTCTCTCACCTTCCCCTTCATCCTCTGCAAGGTGAACAGGGGCAGGAGGTGTTTGGTCCCTGGGGCATTTACGGCTAGACACTCTAGGATGTCTGACTCTGGGCAGCCAGACAGGTGCATTGGAGGAGGAAGAAAAGATCCAGGGAAACACCATTCCTCAGGCATGGGGGGCCAGAGCAGATCCCTGGCTCGCTGACCTGGAGCCGGGAGCTTGCAGCTGCTACCTCCTCAGCCTCTGCTGGATCCTGCCCCAGCCCCATTCCCCACTCTGGTTCCTCCTTTTCTTGGCTCTGGGATGAAACTAGAAATTCAGTTCTATCTACGGGGGATTGTATTCCTAGTTTCTCTCACATATTTGAGAGTTTTAAATATTTCTACTTGACTCAGGGTAGATCTACTTTAAAAAAAAAAAAAAAAAACCCAAGCAATAGAAATGTAATAATGAATTTGCCTCCCCATTTTGTCTTAGCCAGTCAATGCTGCAACATATGGGAGAGGAAGGGTCCAGGTCAAGAAACACAATTACAACCCCCAGAGAAACACAGGAAGCCACTTGAGGCAGACCCTGGATGCAGCCTTCCCAGCCCAGGCCCTGCCCCAGCAGCCAACAGGGCTCTCGTAGTTAGCAGTTCTGATTGGGTGGATGCTGACATCTTAATGTCCACACCCTCACCCCTGCCACTCTCTAGCCCTCTGACCTGGGGCATATTCATGGTCGTAGGTTCTTTGAAATTTTGAAAATATTCCCAGCCACCCACCCGCCGCCATTTCCTTCTCTAGTTCTGAGCCCACAGGGCGCAGGGCACTGTGCCCCCTGCGAAGGAGAGGCCTCCATGCAGGAATTGCTCCTAAAGGATAGCCCAACGTTATGCTCAGTTTTCAGTTTCAGTGAGCAGGTTATTTTTTCCTGGTGAAGTTACAGATAACCCACATTTCCCAGTCAGAGGCTACAGACAAGAGCTAGGGCCTGGGGTCGCAGTTGAAGGACTTTTTGCTGCATCTGTTCACATTTAACCATCAGACCTGATGTGGATTGGAAGCAGGTGGAAGAAGGCTGGCCACTCTCTCACACAAGGACAATTCCTCTGGACAGCACACCTTCCTCTCCCACGCCCCTGAGAGCTGCATGCACCCTGTCTGGGGGCTTCGCCCTGGGGAGGGCAGTGCTCCTGCTCAGGAGGTGCCGGGGCCTCGGCAGGGTAGGTGGGCCATGGCTGCAGGAGGCTGACTCCCAGGTGTCTTGTTGGCTGGACAGGGCAAGAGGCACGAGGGAGGGAGGGGGTCGAGGAAGGAGGAAGGCTGGAGGGTGCGTCCAGGAGGGTGGGCTGTACCTGAGGGGATGATAAGGATGAGCAGGCACATCATGGTGCCTTGGAAGAGAGTGGCAATCAGGCTCCACTTCCTCCCCATCTGTTCCAGGAGAAAAATGCAGCACAGCCGGGCGGGCACCTCCATGATGCTAGGGATCACCTGTCGGAAGTAGATGTTCACACCAAAATCCTTCAACTTGAAGCTCAGTGTAAAATAGCTGTAACCGACAGTAAACCTGGAATGAAGCCAGGAGAGAGTCACTCAGAGAGAGACACACACACAGATGCACAGAAATGGATGGGGCAAGGAATAAAGTCAGAGGCAGAGCAGAGAGGGGCAGGGTGGGAATGGACAGAGAAATAAGCACAGAGATCTGGGAGCCGTGGGCCAAGCCAGGGTCCTTAGGCCTCACCCCGCCTTGCAGCCTGACCATGCCCCATTCCCTCATCAAATTCTGGCATGCACATCTGTTTGCAGTCCCTGCCCACCAGTCCTGGGTACTCACCACACACAGCCCATCACCAAGGTCACCTTGCGGAGGTGCCTATTGTTATAGAAGTCCAGGACAGAGGCCTTATCCATCTTCTTTCCAGGCAGCTGCAGCTACAGGATAAGCAGGACCAGCCAGAGGCAGGGTGGAGATCCCAGCTTGCTCCCCACTCCCACAAGACCTGCAAGGCCAGCCTGCCCCCCACAGCACCAGCTGGGCCTCTGGCCCTCCCCTGGCAGGATTTGATTTTGCCATCACCATTCTCCTCAAGCAGTGGGGCCGAGGTGGCACCTAAAAGGATGAGGAGGAAAGAGGCCCTTCCACAGCGCCCTACCTGGCTCACTGCAGGCCTGAGGCCTCTTACCTTGTCCAGCAGACTTAAGGGGATGGTCTTCTTGTTCACACCAGCTGCATAACACAGCACCTGCTTGGCCTCCTCCACCTTCCCTTTCATCATCAGCCACCGGGGGGACTCCGGGAGAATCCTGCATGGCCATCTCTCTCTTATCCATCATTCCAAGATGGCCCAGAGTCCCAAGTTGGTCCTATCCCAGTCTCAGCTGTGGCCATCCTGCTCCAGCATGAGATGACTCTGATGTCAGGGGCCTTGAAGGTGACCATCAACCTCGGGATGCCCTCTGTCCCTCTCTGGCAGTCAGCCTTTCCCCTGCCCAAGCCACTACAGCCCCCACTGCTGCTTGGGGTCACTCCAGACACTCACTGACCCCCTCTAAGAGCTCTCTACTTTTCTATCTCAGGGGTCATCCCCACCTACCTGGGCATACTGACTGCACCATCCTCCACGCCCACACCCTCTATTACAGTCCCATTTTCATAAGTGGGATTTCTCCTGTCCCCTCTCTGTCTCCTAACAGCCTGGGGAGTATGAGGGCAGGTTATTTTTTCCTGGGGAAGTTACAGATAACCTGCATTTCCCAGTCAGAGGCTACAGATGAGAGTCAGGGCCCGGGTCTGACCCCAGGACTCAGCCCCTGCCTGGGTGAATAGAGTTCTCCACCCTGTCCCCGTTCCTCCCTGTCACATCACCCATTGCCTTTGACCTCAGAATAACTGTAGTCCCGCTGTTCTTCCCAAAGCTCCCAGGCTCTAGAATCTACACAGATTAACATTTCAAGTACTTATTATGCGCCAGGAATTGTGCTCAGTGCCCTCACATATATTACCTGATTTAACCCCCGCCCAACCCTGGACCTGGTAGGATTATCCCATTTTATTCCCAGCCTCGGGGAGTAAGGGCTTGCCCAAGGTCACAGAGGGGGAGCTAGTATGAAGCTCGGGGCTCCGATAAGGCATTCTCAACAAAACTGTGCCATCAGCCCCTGCTGATTTCTGGCAACCCTCCTTCTCCCTCCCCAGCCTGGACTCTGTGGCTGGTGTCTGTAAACACATGCATGGGACACCAGAGACAATTTCATTCCCTCTACCTGCCCCTGCTCCTGCCTGCTTCCCACAGGGGCCGCAATGAGTTGTCTGTCATCCTTCTCCACTCTGCAGCTGTGGCTGCAGAACCATCCTAAGGGAAGCCATCAAGTGGGGACTTTTTCCAGAAAGATAGGAGATTGACCACATGCCCACTAAAAAATAGGGGAATGAAAAAAGATATCCACTCTCAAGGACAAAGAGAGTGGGAGAGATGACATGGTGAGAGAAAGATTTAACAAATGGATGCAGCCCGAAAGCGATGGAGGAGTACTGCTACTGAGCGGGCAGGCAAACCCGTGCGCACAGGCACGTAGGAGCGAGATAAAGGAGAACTGTCCTCCTGGGTCCAGAGGAGCCTGGACACCCCAGTCCTCAGATATGGGACTCCAGTTCCCCCTGTAGTTTGCACCTAGAGCACAGAGGAAGTAGGGATTCATATACAGCAGGGGCAAGGCTGAGGAAAAACACAGGGAAACCACGGGAGTGGAAGTCCCTGTGATGACAAGAGTCCCAGCTCCAGTTCCAGCCCCACCCAGGAGCACAAGAGCTTGAGCCTGGCAACTCTCTGGCTTTGGGATCCCTTAGGGAAAAGGCACCCGCCATTTTCCTCTCCCATAGTAGCGGTTCTCAAATTGTGGTCAGCGGATCAGTCACATCAGCATCACCTGGGAACTTGTTAGAAACACAGCTTCTTGGGCCCCATCCCAGTCCTGTTGATTCAGAAACTCTGCAGGCAGAGCCCAGTCGTTGATGTTTTAACGAGCCCCACGTGACTCTGATGCTCACATAAATTTGAGCTCCTGCTCATACAGTTTCCTGTTAGCTTCTTAGTGACTTGCTCTTAACTATGAAGGGATGACCAAAGGTCACTAACTATTAAAGAAGACCTCCCAAATGAAAAAGTGTCCAAAATAATCGAGCAGGAAAAAAAATGACCCCACTAGACACAAATAATGTAGGGAACAGGAGAGAAAAAGAGAAAACTCTAACGTGTATCCTCAAAAACACGTGAAAATACTTTGCAATTTTATTTACATAAAACAAGCTCCAACTGCTATTGAGAAGAATATTAAATCGGAGAAGAAGAGTAGTATGACCGGATGTTACGTGGAACTTTTTTGTTCCGGAAGTTCAGTTGAAGTCCCAAAGCTGGTAACCAAGGGTGATAACCTCACATTCTAAGACAGGTGGTGCTACCACATTAAGGACAGGACTCACCAAAAAAAAAAAAAAAAAAAAAAAACAGCCCAGTGGCCACCTCCCCCAGCCACCTAGAGAGGTTGGGAAATTTCCAGTTCGTGGAGGTGAGAGGGTCTTGAATCTCTTCCCCTCCCCATGTTGCTCCCATCTACTCACTCCTGGAGAAGGGGACTGCCTTGTAGAAAGGGGGTCTGCCCTCCCATCCTCTGGCTGAAGCTTGCTGATTCAGAAACTTGAGGGCTTGCCGTGGGGCTCCAGACGGTTTATGGCAGAGTTAATAGTGTCTCCTGAAGTTGGAGGTCTACGCAAACCCGGAGACTGGGGTCCCTCTCTCCCCTGGATATGATTAGGTAGGAGACTGGTGGGAACAGCCCACAATGGCAGGCTGAGGGTGGGAGGACAATGAGATTTTTAGCCAAGTGGACCCTGTTGTCTTGAAGGTACCCCACAAGCCAGGGTGAAGAGATTTCTGCAGAAAGAGGCTGTGGGGTGAATGGCCAGGGACGGGAGCAGGAGAGGTCACAAGACAGTGCCTGGAGCATTAGGAAATGCCAACACTCTGAAGACTCACAAGGGGGCCAGAGGCACCGGCATGGGAACGTCTGCCCTACAGAGGATACAGCCCCTGCCCGCACATCTTTCGTCCCTTTTCTCTGATGCCCGTATCCCCTGCCTAGAACCTGGAAGATCAGAGCAGGGAGACAGAAGAGGAAGAGCAAAAGTCAGAACAGACCTCATCCCCTCAGGCCACTAGCCCAAGCTATCTAGCCACCCGGGAGATGCTGTGAATTGGATGTAAGATTGAGTTTTAAATTGGACTGGACTGGATTTTTTTTTTTAAGAATTTATTTTTCCTTTTTCTCCCCAAAGCCCTCTGGTACATAGTTGTGTATTTTTAGTTGTGAGTGCCTCTGGTTGTGCTATGTGGGATGCCGCCTCAGCATGACCTGATGAGCGGTGCCATGTCCACGCCCAGGACCCAAACCAGTGAAACCCTGGGCCACCGAAGCGGAGCGCGTGAACTTAACCACTTGGCCACGGGGCTGGCCCCATGGACTGGATTTTTTAATGACTGAAATTCAGTCTTAATTATCAAAATGAGACTTTTTCTTACAACTAAGGATGCCTGGAAGGAGATGGAACCTGCTCAAGATATTGTCAAGTGTCAGGGAAGGAACAGTTGACAGGATATGTCTGAATCCAGTGGCTGAAGAAAAATAGACCCCATTCAGTAAGCTGTCTACTCAGTGTATGTAGAACTATGTAGACATCTATTGGGAGAAAGAGCTAAAAGAGTTCAGTGTGATGATGGCTTCTGAGAAAGGAACTGGGGTTGAGGGGACCTGAAATTGGTGACTTATTTTTCAACACAAACATGTTGTACTACTCAATTTTTAACCACATGCATCTACTGCATTAATAACATTTTTAAAAAATGTTCTAAGGTCAAGCCATGAAACGCTATTTGCCAGCTACATGACAGAGTCATGCCACCTGGTATCAGCTGGGTCCCCACACTCACTTGGGTATCTCAATGGCCATCAAAGCTGGCCTCCAGCTTCTGCAGCATTTGGAAGGTCTCCAAATCACCTAGATGTCCTCCCTATGAACTGGTAACCCACCTCTGACAATCCATATTGTATATGGTGCAGGGGATTAGAAAGCAGCCAGGCTGAGTCAAATCCCAGATGTCCCACTCTTTAGCTGTGTGACCTTGGGCAAGTTATTTCAACCCTTTGAAGCCTCAGTTCTCCCGCTCCCCCACCCCTGCAGCCCCCATGACATTAGACTCACACCCACCCTTTAAGGTTGTAAAGATTAAATGTGGTAATGTCAAGAGTAAATATAGTCATTTCTTCCCACAGAATTGCCTAACCTGTAACAAGGTGATTTCAGCTCTCTTCCTCTCCCCCTCATCTGCCTTCTCTTCTCTTCCTCTCCTTTTGTCACCTGCCCACAATTAGCAGTGCCATCTCGCTATTGTTCCCAGTCCCTCCTCCTTACTCCTCCAAGTTTTGCTCCATCAATTGTCCCTTCATAGCTTCAATCTCTCAGGTGATTGTGAGTATGACTCCCCTACGATTAAAAACATCAGATACCCTTCCCTGACTCCATCTTTGCTGCCCATACATGGCATCACTTTCCCCTGCCCACCTCAGCCCAACACTGAAAGGATCATCTCCTGGATGACTCCATTTTTCAGCCCCTCCTCACTCCTCAAGCTCCTGCCACTCCACTGAAGCCACCTCAAGGTCACCAAGGCCAGCAGACCCTTCCCTGGCCTCGCCTTTCTTGCCTTCAACCCTGACCATTCCCTTGTCCTTGAACTCTTGCCTTTCGAGACTTTCCCTTCTGGTTTTCTGACCACCTCTCTGACATCTCTTTGAGGGTCTCCTCTGAGGGGGGTTAATGCTGGGGTTCCAGAGGCTCTGCCCTTGGCTGTTTCTCATCTCATCCATATGCACTTTCTCCCAGGGAAAATTCTACCCACTCAAGCCCTTCAAGGACCCCCCACGCCCCTCAATCTCCAGCCCATCAGACCCATTCCTGTGATGCCCTGTACTTGTTTGCTCACCAGATATAGAAGATGAAGGAGAATACAGGTGCCCCGCCCAACAGAAACAGCATCCGCCAGTGGGGAAGGCTGTAGGCAAGCCCGGTCAGGAACATGACACCCACAGCGAAAAAGCAGTGTTCCAGGATGATGGCATGGGCCCGGTGGTCACCCACTAGCCACTCAGTGGCTGTGCAGAGGCCGAGAGGACAAAATCATGGTCAGCTCAGGGTCCCCAAGGCTACCCCTGCACTCAGCCTTTTGAGATGCCCCAGCCCTGCTTGGGATGGTTCAGAACTGGCAAAAGTTCTTTGCCCTACTCATGATCTGCCCTAGGTCCAGAGACAGCCCTTCAAAGCCAGAGTGCCTCTGTGCCCCCAGGGCACACCCTAGACCTCTTGCCTGACCTCCCAATCACATGTATAGCCTCCAGTCCCTTCTCAACCTGGCTGTTCCCTCTGAACACCTCCTGCCTGACCACATGCCTCTCATGGAGAAGGCCTGGCTCTGGGCACAGCACCTCACACGTAGCCTGAGACATGGTAAGGCAAGGAATCACTGTCTTTGTCTTTGCTCTTAGTGCATCAGTGCTTTGGCCGCCTGGGCCTAGGGTTCTGGGGAGGACCCAGTTTCCTCGGGCTCCACTCTGGCAGGCTCCCAATGAGAAGAGGTCTCCTGCCAGGGAACCCTGAGCACACCAAGTGAGGGCAGCTGTAAGGCTGAATGAGTGTGTGGGCGCTTGGAGCTTTCGCATCACACAGGCCTGGGGTGAAATCACAGCTCCTTTGCTTAGCTGCTGTGTGACTCTGAGCAAGTTGGTTAACTTCCTGAGGCTCCAGTATCATCCTCAGCTAAAGGAATGATAGGATACTACCTACTGAATAGAGTGTTGTCATGATAAAGTGAGATGATACATATAAAGGGCTTAGCAGCATCCCTGGTCCTTCTTAAGGGCTCAATAAATGTAAGCCACATCAGGGGTATGCAAGGGATATGAGACAGGAATGTGCAGAGGACAAGGGGGCTAGGATAGAGGATGAAAGCAGAAGGGCAGTCTGGGCACAGACTCTCTGGCATCTCCAAGTAGCCAGGTGTGGAAGCTCCTTCCTCCACTGCCTGCCCAATTGGGCTGGAATTCTCTCTGTTCTGCAGGCTCCGATGGGGGATGCACCAGCCCCATCCCTACCAGCCCCACACTGACTCGGCCTGGCCTCACCTAAAGACGTGCTGCTGATGGAGTAGCCCACCAACGCCTGGGACACGGCGAATCGGAAGAACAGATACTGATGAAAGCTGTTGACAAAAGCTGTCCCGAAGCCGAAGACGATCAGCCCCAGCAGTGACAGCAGGATGGTGGGGTATCGGCCCAGCCTGCAGGCATTGATGGGAGGCTGCACCAAGCGCAAGGCCTGCCATGGCTGGGCCCATCCGACATCCCCAGGTCAGGTCCTGAGCCGTCCACGGGTCTCCAGAATGCCCCTCCCCTTGCCTCCCTCAGCTTGAGACTCTTGAGCTCTCACTGCCCATGAGGAGGAGGCAGGGGAGTCACAGGGACCAGAGGGAACTCCGGGAGACTCACCTGTCACTTATGAAGCCAAAGATGAGAGATCCTATTAGGAGGCCCGCCATGAACATGGTCTGCACGGTCTCTGTGCTTGTTTCTTTGCCACACACCAAGTCAAACTGGAGGGTTACATGCAGGGATTGGCCACAGGCCTCTACCCAGGGTCAGCCTTCTGGGTCCAGAGACTGAGCCTCCCCTCCCTGGTGGGCCTTTAGGCAGAAAGGACCTGGGACAGAGGAAGATAACTGTGTGTGCAGCATGTCTCAACTGTGTTACCTCTGCCCCCCATCTTGTATCTGGCAGACTGGGAGTTAGGCCTGGAGAGAGGGACCAGAGGCACAGGCCAAGATGGAGAATAGGTGGACAGATAACTGAACAAAGGCCAGAATCACCGAAGACCTTTCCCAAATACAGATGCTGGGCCCCAGCCTAGAGATTCAAATTGGGTAAGTCTGAGCTGTGAAGGGCCCGGGTTGCAGCTTAGGCTGAGAAACCCTGTAAGAGAGGTACCTGTTCAAAGCTGCGTCTTCCCCCAATTCCCTGTCTTCTATGAGTTCTGAGGGCAGAGCCACCACTGAAGAAGCAACTCCCTGGACAGATGGCCACCCTGCCATCTGACATCTGCCCCATCCTTAAATCCACTGTAGCTTCCTGGCTAAGACAGGTGAGGCCAGTGCTGGGCAGCAGGAATCCTGTTTCTGCCCTGGCCCTGCCTCTGCAGGGTGACCTTGGGCCAATTGCTTCCCCTCCATGAGCCTCAGTTTCCCCAATTGTTCAGTGAAGGTGAGGACAAATCTCTGGGCCTACAGGGTAGCTACAGAAAACTCAGGACAAGGCTCACCTCATTGATCAGTGATCGCTGCTTGGTCTCAGGATAGATCCACCCATCATGGCATGACTCTGTGTGGTTGAGGCCATATTGGATTATAGAAGCCAGATCCCAGGCCACAGGCAAGTACATGAGGCATGTAAGGAAACTGCCATTGGGTGCTCGGGGCAGGGTCAGATTCAACTGCTCAGCCTCTGACAGGTTGGGGCCCACTGCCAGTATCCAGCTGGCATTGCAATAGGGCTTCTGGGCTGTGAACATGAAGAGGTCAGCAAACATGAATACGGCCGACAGGACATTGGGGATGAAGGTGAGGGCCACCAGCCTCCGCTGGAATGTACCAAACTCCCCCACTGCATCCAGGATGTTGGAAAACTTGTCATCCTTCTTGCCTTCTGTGGCTCTCAATCTGCGTAACAGCATGTTCAGAGACCAGGAATTGTGACGTGGTGCTGTCTCATGCTGGTTCAAGATCTTGGAAGAAGGCTGAGTTTGGAGCTCTACCTTGAAGTTGCTTTCCCTTGCCATCTGTTCAAAGAAAGGATGCAGCTCAATCTCTATTGACACCACTTCATAGATATCAGAGTCTGGCCTGAGAGCCACTGACCAGAAATTGGCCTCTCTGGCTTGGCACAATTTGCATTCCAAACTTGATGTTCTGTGTAGTTTCCTCTTTTGCTTCTGAAGGTTCTTAGTTAACATAATTTGTCCCCCATTGGCCCACCCATCTGGGATTGTTAGTAGACTTAAGATTTTGTAGAGTTTTAGAGAATGCTATGCTTGTGTTGTCATGGATGACTAAGTTCTGAGGGGCTCTCTCTCCTACAACATCTCCATAACTGAAACTTTGTTGACACACACACTGAGGCACCACCAGTCTTGCAAAAGGTAGAAGAGGTCTCCAGGGGCCATTCCTTCAAAACAAACAAACAAAAGCCACAAACATACCTGGATTGGGAATGGCCAGGAACTGAAGCCAAGGTGGGTGGCTGGAAGGCTTCACCATGGAGGTTGAAGCCAGGCCTTGGGGAGTGGGCCAAGAAAAGGGTGAGGTGACATACAGCAGCATAGAGGCAAACTGGAAAGGCAAGTAAGGGTGAGGAGTAAGGTAGCAATATTGACTGTAAAGATATCACCTTGGAACAGCCGCAAGAAGGGGAAACTAAGCTTAAAATTGAAAGAGTTGACAAGGCTGAAGAGGTCCTTGGCTATTAGCAGAAGCAGAAGCAAGCCTTCTCTGAAGGAAAATTTCTCCAAGTGAAGCCTGCAAGACTCCCACAGATTCAGATCAAGCAAAGAGCTCAAAACAAAAATCATCAAACACGAGGAGTGACATCAGCATCATGGAGTGCGCTCTTCCCTCAGACTCTCCCCCAAAGATACAATGAAAAGGACATTCATATACCAACAGAGGACATTCACACAGAACAGAAGACATCTGAGAGACCCAGGCAGCTATACCTCTGAAGGTGGAGGTGCTGGACACCCTGGAGGAAGTTGAAGGAGGTAAGGGGATCTCCTTTTCCTCCTGAATGGCAGCAATCCAGGGTGCAGGACCACATGCGGCTCCGAGAGGAGGGGGAGAGGGGTAGTGCTCCACAGGAACACCTTCACTCTCCAAGTTCCCTCACAGCCTGTGGGAAAGCCCCACACAGAGGTTGGGCTAAGCTATTTCAGGGATGTCTCCATCAAGCTAGTATCCCAAGAGGGCAGATAGCAAGGGCAGAGTGAGAACACCCCAGGGATTTTGCAGGCAAAAGAAAGTGCCCCTCCCCACCTGGCACACCAGCTCAGTGGGTCAGCAAGAGCACCCGCGCATACAATAGAAAAGCAGCAGCTGTGAGCAAGCAAGCCACAGATCACAGCGGGCTCAGAATACATGGCTCTTGACCTCCACCCAGTGGCAGAAGGTGGAAGCTGTGACCAAATACTATCACAAAGCAGATGCACAAATCTATGCCATCAAACAGTATGAAAAGATATATTAATACTCCAGACCAGAAGGGAAATGACAAGCACCCAGAAATAAATCCTGAAGGCACAGAAGTTTATAATCTAAATGACAGAGAATTCAAAGTAGCTGTCATAAAAAAAAATCAATGGGTTACAAGAAAATACAGATAGTTCAGTGAAATCAGGAACTTATTTACAAAAGAGATTGAAACTATAAAGAAAAACCAATCAGAGATGTTGGAGGTGAAAAAACACAATAGATGGGATAAAGAAAAATCGAACTCCCTCCACAATAGAGCTGATATTATGGAGGAGAGAATCAGCAGTCTGGAGGACAGAAGTATAGAAATGCTTCAGATGGAGAAGGAGAGAGAACTAAGACTAAAAAGACAGGAAGAAATTCTCGGAGAAGCATCCAACTCAATTAGGAAATACAAAATAAGGATTCTAGGTATTCCAGAGGAAGAAGAGGAGGAGAATGGAGCAGAAAGCTTGTTCAAACAGGTAACAGCTGAGAACTTCCCAAACCTGGGGAAGGAGCTGGAAATACAAGAGAAAGAAGCTATCATAACTCCTAATTGTATCAATGTAAAAAGACCTTCTCTGAGGCATATAGTAGTAAAGCTGGCAAAAGTCAATGACAAAGAAAAATATTAAGGGTAGCAAAGCAGAATAAAATAACTTATAAAGGAACTCCTATCAGGCATTCAGCAGATTTCTCAGCAGAAACCTTATAGTCTAGGAGAGAGTGGAATTTTGATATATCCAAAATTCTGAAAGACAAAAACTTTCAGCCAAGAATAGTCTATCCAGTGAAAATATCCTTCAGATATGGTGGAGAAATAAAAACTTTCCTAGATAAACAAAAGCTAATGGAGCTCATCACCAAAAGACCCCATCCGCATGAGAAATGCTCAAGGAGGAAAAGAAAGGAGTTACAAAGCCTTGAGAAGGGAGATAAATAGGTAGACAAAATCAGAAAATTGCAGCTCTTTATCACAACAGATTAGCAAACACTTAATTATAACATTAAGGATAAAGGGGAGGAAAACATCAAAAATAAATATAATCTCATCATTTTAAGCACAAACCACAATACAAGATGGAATAAGTTGTGACAATAATAACTTAGAAGGGGAAGGGGAAAGGGATGGAATTGGCTTAGTCAAAGGAAATAAGAGGCTATCAGAAAATGGACTATCTCATCTATGAGATTTTTTATACAAACCTCATGGTAACCACTAAACAAATCATCAGAACAGAGACATAAATGATAAATAAAGAGAAAACTAAGAAAACCATCATAGAGAACTATCAAGCTGAATTGGTAGTCTGAAATACATGGGACAAGAAAAAAGGGAAATGAAGAAGAACCAGAAAATGAGTGATGAAATGGCAGCATTAAACCCTCGCACATCAATAACCACCCCAATATAAATGGATTGAATTCTCCTATCAAAAGACACAGAGTGGTGGCCTGGATTAAAAAACAAGAATAACAATATGCTGCCTCCAGGAAACACATCTCAGCTCTAAAGACAAACACAGGCTCAGAGTGAAGGGATGGAAGATGATACTCCAAGCTAATGGCAAACGAGAAAGCAAGTGTTTCTCTACTTGTATCAGACAAAGTAGATTTCAAGACAAAACAGATAATGAGAAACAAAGAGGAGCAGTATATAGTGATAAAAGGGACACTCCACCAAGATGACATAACACTTATAAATATATATGCACCTAACACAGGAGCACCTAAGTACATAAAGCAACTATTAACAAACCTAAAAGGAGATATTAACAATAACATAATAATAGTAGAGGAGCTTAACACCCCACTTACATCAATGGAGAGGTCATCCAGACAGAAAGTCAACAAGGAAATAGTGGATTTTAACAAAAAAACTCTAGATGGACTTAATAGATATATAGAGAACACTCTGTCCAGAACCAGAAGAATACACATTCTTCTCAAGTGCACATGGAACATTCTTTTTTCTTTTTCCTTTTTCTCCCCAAAGCCCCCTGGTACATAGCTGTATATTCTTTGTTGTGGGTGCTTCTAGTTGTGGCATGTGGGATGCTGCCTCAGCATGGTTTGATGAGCAGTGCCACGTCTGCGCCCAGGATTCGAACTAACGAAACACTGGGCCGCCTGCAGTGGAGCGCGTGAACTTAACCACTCGGCCACAGGGCCAGCCCCAGGAACATTCTTAAGGATAGACCATATGTTGGGAAACAAAGCAAGCCTCAATAAATTTAAGAAGATTGAAATCATATCAAGCACCTTTTCCAACCATAATTCTGTGAAACTAGAGATCAACTACAAGAAAGAAGCTGGGAAAGTGACAAATATGTGGAGACTAAACAACATGCTACTGAACAACCAATGGATCTTTGAAAAAATTATAGGAGAAATCAAAAAATTTCTGGAGACATTCAACGTAATCCTTATCAAAGTTCCAACAACATTTTTTACAGAAATAGAACAAAGAATCCTAAAATTTATATGGAACAACAAAAGACCCCAAATAGCCAAAGGATTCCTGAGAAAAAAGAACAAAGCTGGAGGTATCACACTCCCTGATTTCAAAACATACTACAAAGCCATAGTAACCAAAACAGCATGGTACTGGCACAAAAACAGACACACAGATCAATGGAAAAGAATTGAGAGCCTAGAACCACACGTTTATGGACAGCTAATATTCAACAAGGGAGCCAAGAGCATAAGATGGAGAAAGGAGAGTCTCTTCAATAAACGGTGTTGGGAAAACTGGACAGCCACATGCAAAAGGATGAAAGTAGACCATTCCCTTACACCATGCACAAAAATCAACTCAAAATGGATTAAAGACTTGAATGTAAGACCCAAAACCATGAAACTTCTAGAAGAAAACATAGGCAGTACACTCTTTGACATCAGTCTGAGCAGCATATCAAGTCCCATGTCTGACTGGGCAAGGGAAACAAAAGAAAAAATGAACAAATGGGACTACATCAAACTAAAAAGCTTCTGCACAGCAAAGGAAACCACCAACAAAATGAAAAGACAACCTAACAATTGGGAGAAGATATTTGCAAATCATATATCAGATAAGGGGTTAATATCCAAAATATACAAAGAACTCATACAGCTCAACAACAAAAAACCCAACAATCCAATTAGAAAGTGGGCAAAAGATCTGAACAGAGATTTCTCCAAAGAAGATATATGGATGGCCAACAGGCATATGAAAAGATGCTCAACATCATTAGCTATCAGGGAAATGCAAATCAAAACTACAATGAGGTATCACCTCACTCCGGTCAGAATGGCTGTAATTAACAAGACAGGAAACAACAAATTTTGGAGAGGATGTGGAGAGAAGGGAACCTTTGTTCACTGCTGGTGGGAGTGCAAACTGGTGCAACCACTATGGAAAGCAGTATGCAGTATCCTCAGAAAATTAAGGATAGATCTACCATATGATCCAGCTATCCCACTGCTGGGTATTTATCCAAAGAACTTGAAGACACAAAGGCATAAAGATACTTGCACCCCTATGTTCATTGCAGCATTATACACAATAACCAAG